GCACGGAAGAAAGAGACGGTACCTTCGACTTAGGGCCGTCTCTCATGCCGGTAAGTCAAAAAACCAATATGCATCAAATGATACGGGCTGATACGTGACGAAATTTTATACCTTGGTTTCTATAGCCTATAGAATCGACACATTAGTATAACTCGATATATCCTCCCCACTCCCACACTCCATAGGACTAGTCTATCCCCAAACCCATAACACCCTCTCCAGCCTTGGTGAAGGTAAGATTCAATCCCAAGTCTCTGCACCAACTAGCTAGATACCTTATCAATCAAGCCAGATTGCACTTTCATCGCTATTTGGTTAGGGTCAGGTCATCCTTAATTGGAATTGGGTTTGAGTCGAGATGGACTTGTTTTGTATAGATAGATAGATAGCTAGATAGATAGGGGCAGAGTCAGGATTTTTTCTTAGAGGGGTGAAAACTAATAAACAAGGATTGAGGAGGCCAAAAGCTAACAAAATATGGATGGAGCCAAAATGTAAGAGGGAACTAAATGGGTATTGTGGAACTTAAGGTATGGGGGGCCACCACCCCTAGCTCTATATACAGGTTGGGTCGGATTTGATGTTCTCTTCTCACTTAGCCTGGTTGGATCTGGTTCAGGCTGAATGAAACCCATGCCAAACCCGACAAGTTGACATTCCCAAACCAATCCAATCCGTTTGCAGCCCTATGAGCAAGGGCTTTGAAGCTAAAATCGGCTCTACGAGTAAAGTAGAAAGTTATGCATCAAGCCTGAATTTGTGATGCATAACTTTTTGGGCACCTTAATACTAAAAGTTGGTGAATTCAGAAATGGATGAATTTGAAATTTTCCAATTCCTTAAGACTGTGTTTGGTTAGAAGGAAAAAATTAGTGAAGGGAATCATTTTAGAGTCCTCAAATGAAATCCTCCATGGGGTACAATCGTAGAAGTGATGTGTGAATGGCGCATGTCTCAGCATAATTCTGACATATTCTGTTAGGGATTTTTAATAAATCGTAGAATTTATGAAATTCTCTCGGTTTCTGTTAGGGATTTCTAATAAATTTAACATATAAGTATGAGAGATATTTCTGATACAGTGTTGGAAATTATAGTCTCAAGAGTGCAAAATTTTTGCTTTCAAGAGATCTGGGCTCTTCAACCACTCCATTTGGGTGGACAGAGATAAAGATTCAGCTCAACTGGTTCAACTGCTATGAAGCACTCTAGATAAACTACTTAAAAGACTGAAGAAGACAGACTTTTAAATGATTTGACTGAGTAGATTTGTCTCTGGAGATTTTTCATCAAACATAGTTCATAGGCTAGGCTGTTCATGTGGAGTCACCTGGAAAAGCCACGAGCCACTGCGATTCAGTCCTCCCAAACAGGCTCAGACGCACTAATCGAAGGTTGGCTCATTGGTGTGTTAATTGGTTTGTTCTAGCGTGCGTTGTCGTGGAATCGAATCCCACAACCAGTGCTTTGGAGAAAAAGGAATCAAAAAGGGGAAATTATTAATGGTGCATGTTTGATGTGTGGGCCTGGGCCCCTTCTAAATTTTAACAAATCGTCAAACCCAGGCCCGCCCAAGTTGAAAGAGGTGGGACCCTATAATGTTAGAATTGCACCATGTATAGTGGCAATACCAGTGGAAGCTAGAATCCCGCATTGATGTGCACACAAAAAGTTTGTCAGGCATCATTAAAATGGAATCTTCTTCTGATAATAACATTTTCATGACTTCATAGCCTTTTTACAGTGTACGGTCAGAACAGCTTAGTAGTCTCTAAGAAGCAAAGGCAGCCTAGTGCCCAGCATTCTCAATGCTTGGGCTGTCAGAGTCTAGATTGGCAGGACACTTGTTGATACAAAGTTCTATAAACACATCGATAGATATTAGGTATTTTGGTCCATCTTCAGAAGCATTGGAAGCAGTAACTACAGCTTCATTTTGAGTGCGGCAACTGGTCTCTCTCCAGCTTGTGAACAATGATGAACATCACTGATTCATCTGTGTCCAGCTGGTTTTGGATCAATGGAGGGTAGAATTTTCAGAAGCCAAGGCATCATAGCCTAGTGGACGATTCACCACCAACAACCGCTGCAAATGGGACTCCCTGTTGCAAGAGCTACCTATGCCCAAGCTTCTCTTCCCTTATCTCTGCCTTTATTCTAGATATAAAAATAAGAATTAATAACATTAATTCAATTCAAGGTTTAAAGTATCGATACATCTTTGTGTATCAGCAGAGGTGTATTGGTACTTTGAACCATACTCCTTTTATCATTTTTTCTTTAGTTTTTTTTTTTTTTTAATTTCTGTTTTGAATATATTTTTATATATATTATTTAAAAAAAATAATTGGTTTCCGAAAACACTTATAAACAGATGTATCAAAGACCAAAAGATACAATACAATGCATCTGGTACGAGATATATCATATGGATACTTGAAACCTTGACTTCAATTCATTTGATAAATCTCTAATGATCATACGGGTTTAGCCACAATGTTACATGAATTCTGTCCTCATCTGGAATTTGGGGAGGGTCTTATGCTCATATTGGGCTAAGAAGCTAGAAGCCCAAAAAGATATCTAGACGACTGACCCATCCAGGCCCAAATGATTCCATACCGAGAATGGTACAATAAATTACTTTCATAGTCGTTTTTGTGTTTGTAAGGATCCGGACTAAATACAATCGTATTCAAGTCTACCATTTTACTAGAGGTGTAAATCAGGCTATGTCAACATTGGGATATGCCCATTATTATAGCATGTAAGTCATATCAAGGTTTGGATTTTCAGGCCTACGGGCCGGTATGGCACGACACGACACAATACGATAAGTGTTGTATAATTTTTTAATTTCATTTTATTATTTCATATATAAACAATTGTATATATCAAAATTCATATAAAATAAAATTTTAAGATTTTTTTATTTTGTTAATTTATTTTAAATTTTTTTTTCATCTTTTTTTAAATATGCCTCATGACTTGGCCCAAGACCCAACCCGTTGCATGGCACGGCTCGACCCAGGACCGCATGGGCATGGGCTTGTTCCATGGGCCATGCTGGGCTTGACCTGTTAAGGATCCCAAAGGAGGCAAACATGGCCCACGGAGGCCTGCCAACTGGCACAGCATGGGTGGCCTGCAAAATGGTATTGTGTCAGCCCGTCACAGCCCGATTTCCACCTCTACATTTTATCAACTCAAGTGCATCCAATTCTACTTGGATATCAATTACTAGCAAGATTGAGAGTTCCATGACACCGAGATGGACCACTTGGCAGCCTCCTAAACTGAATTACAGAAAATATTAGAAGAGACTCGTGCGATGCACGGACTGGTATTAAAAAGATACCCATGTTACATTGAATTTCTTAACTTGTGGCCTTGCGGGTGAGCTTAAATAGCCTTATATTTAAATTCTTATTTTTTAAAATTCAAAAAAAAACCCACAAAATTCTAAAAGGATTGAGAAGCAATATGAGGAATCTGATATAAACAACTGCATTTTAGTAAGAATTGAGTACAGAGATTCTTCCCTTCTGCTTTGACAAGGGCACCCACAGGTGTTAATAAATTTAAGTGTTTTAATTAAATTTTCTTTCGCCTTGTTCGATCCAATCCGGATCTCCTACTTACAAGAATCCTACCCACAAGATGACTAGTGATGTGGGGGTAGGAGATCCGACACTGTTCGACCATATCTCTATTTGGTCCATTTACTATTGTAATTTCTTGGTTATTTCAGATTTGATTTATAGTAATAGTTTATTATTTAAACCAAATTCTACCCTCCTATCTCCAGCAGAGGGTGCTCAGATTGCATAAGCCACAGTGGCCTCCATAGATGGTTGGTTCAAAACCTCGTCACAGTTGCACTTAACTCAGAGTTGGGGAGGGGGGAGACCAATGGGTCTGAAGCCTGTGAGTTGTTTACTTCAGTTTGTGGTAGATCCATGGAGCTGAAGAACAGATCCAGTCCCAGGTTAGCTAGACAGTAGGAGACCACTTGGGTTGCTATCAATATCTCTGAAGTCTGAACATCCAATTTGCTCCTGCACTTCCATTATCTCCCTCTCCCAACATAAAAATAAAAGCATTTAAGGTCAACCATCTCTCCCTTTTGTCAGCCCAGCTCCCACCCGGGGAATTTCGCCACGACACCACCCATCATTGATCAAAGTAATAAACCTCTGAACTCTGGACATTCACCGAGCGGAAATCCAACAGGCAAGATGGCCAAACCGCTCACGAAAAGCCTCACTCCATGAGCATATTTTTTATTTGACACTGAGCTTTGGCAGGTTACTGTCAGTTATCCACATGTCGTTGCTTTTCAAAACTGTTCACGTTTTAGCCTAGAACAAAGTATTAATTGTTATTGTTAAATAAACCTTCCCAGCCAAAAGTTTCATGGAAGCTGGAACATGTGATGTGCTCAGTTCAGAACAGTTCATAAGACCCAACACATAATGTCTGCTACAAAGCTACTTCTCCACCTTGCCAAAGAGAAGGAATCTGTGAATGACAGATTGATCTCCTTTGTGTCCTTAAGGCTCCATTGTTTGTAGTGGAAATCCGAATCGGATGCAAAATTTGTATTTTTCCATTCCCATGCATTTAAATAATATAGCTGGACAAGCAATAATCCTAATAAAACAGACAATTTGTTCAAGCCATATACAAAAAAAGTTTGGATATGAATACAGTTAACGGGTTATCATCTAATTTATCAGATATTTTCTCATTGATTGAATATGTTTATGAGAGAATAACAAAGTGGTTTTTATTATTAGAAGTGATGATCATGATATGTGATTCCTTGTGTCCTTGATAGTTGATACAGTGAATTTCAGACTGCCCGGGGCCGGGATATGTATGCCATGCTTCTGAGCATTCGAAAGCAAAGGTTAAACTCCTGAAAACTGAATATGGAAATCAAGTCTGATTTTCTAGCTGGTTCAAGTTACTGAACTCTTCTACAGGAAAGCTGCAACTGAGAAGATTAAGCTCATTTCATGTAACCTTTACTTAGTGGTTAACACCCTACTCTGCCTCCCAACATGGGTTTTGTATATAAAAGCAATACAGAAAATACATAAAAATATTCCATCACCTTCATGAACTAGTGGTGTTTAATTGAAACAGGGAAAAAAACAAAAAAGGAAACTTGATCTATACAACCATATCACACAAAAATACATCATAGCAGTAGGCTGGGAGCCTGAGACCATAAGCAGTCAATGTAATTTGATCTATATATAGACGCTTCTTAAATGGAATGAATGGACTTCACTCTCTGTATTGCTTGTTTCACTTTAGCCAACGGTTCCTCATATAATATGGCTGGGTCATCAAACTGGGAAGCTGAGCTTGGTTCACCGAGAAAAGCCCGGAAAGAGTCTGCCACAGAATATGAGAGAGACTGGAGGTTGTATCCTCCTTCAAGAAAGAATATGCAACGGCCCCCACACAACTCTTTAGCTAGTTGCTTGATGTTTGATGCAAGCATGTAGTATGTACCGGTTGTAAATTGCAGGTTGGCAAGCGGATCCAACACATGGGCATCATAACTGAGAAGAAAAAAAAAATACCAAAACCAACTTAAGTGGGTGAAAAGAGGATCAGGAACTATAAGGCTGATTCAACTACTTATAATTGCATATGCAGAACAATTATAGTAATTTGGAATTTTTTTTTCCTTTTGCAAATTATTTTGCCTGACCAGATGGGTTAGAGTCTTAGATATCGAGTCACTTTAATCAGAATACTGTTCATTTCATCATGTAGTTATAGAAAAGCAAGGATACAAGAATTTCAATTAATTTTTTAAGCATACAAATATATTAGGGTAGAAGTAACTCACCCTGCTGAGACAAGAATGATATCTGGTTTGAACCTTTGGGCACATGGCACTATGACTTCTTCAAAAACAGATCTCATTGTAGCATCACCAGAGCCTCCTGGTAAAGGTAGATTCAATGTTGTTCCTTCACCACGCCCATGACCCACCTCATCAATCTTACCGGTACCAGGGTAACTTCCATCCTACATCAACAGATATCAGAAAAGATTTACCAGTTTTATCTTTCCATATAAACTAATCAACAAATAAGTCGCATACACTGTTTTAAAACATTGATATTTATCTTTATACTTATGCTTTAGACATATTTGAAGCCATTTAAGGTATTATTTAGCATTTATGGCTTCTTAATAATTATTAAATGGTTTTCAAGGATGTGATGGCTACCTCTAAAGCTCCTGGTATTCATAAATTACAATTATGTGATCATCTATTCATTTATATGCTTTTTCTACATAAACTCTTATATTTGTACTTCATTTTGGTTTAATTAATGTGGTAGCTCATGAGGCTTAGGCCTCACATCTTGAGGCTTACACCTCACACGTCCAAAGGCTCTGGCACCTTGCCTCATGCCTCTGCATTTTTAAATATTGGTCATACAACAATCAATAAAGAAATTTCCATTTTAGGGAAGTATTGGGAACACGACTTTCAAACTGCCTTAACCTGAATTTGGGTTTGAGACCAACTGGATTGAGACCAACTGAATTTGTAATTAAGTCAACTTCTTGTCCAGCGGATCAAGAGAACCAAATATTGATGATAACACCTCAAAATCTTTTAACAAAGTATTGCTGTAGCAGTGTTCTATAATTTATCTGTTATATTGACAACAAATATCTATGCTATAGGACATCAATTTGCAATATTGCACTTCTTGGACTACAAGAAGCATGACCAGTTGCCTACACTGGCTATAACAAAAGAGAAATTAAAAGATAGATAAATTATTCCATGGTGTATGAATTAAGATATAGGCAGAATAAACACTACTAAGAAATAGATCCAGCAAATGGAAATCATAATTAATAGGTGTGATTTGTAGATTATGGGTGACCAATAATTAATGGATCTATCAATTGTTCTCTACTAATCTCAAGCCTGAAGTTTTTGAACTTGTGTATATGTTGAGTTTAACATAAGTTGGCTTGCTACCCTAAGTTGGGACTCTCTGAAACTGAGCTGAAGATTCCACAATTCAAAATGAAAATTATCATCTAGATTGTTTAGACAGGTATGGACTATCGAATTAACAATAAGATGAAATGCATGCTTTACTCAACCATTCAGCATAACATGGAAATAATATACACTAAATAATTTAACCAAGCAATACCTTACCTGATGAGTAGAAAGGAAGAATATATCTGGGTCATCATAGAATGTATCATTTGTTCCGTTCCCATGGTGGACATCGAAATCAATGATAAAAACCCGCTTTAAACCATGTGCACGTTGAGCATGACGAGCAGCAATAGCAATATTTCCAAAGACACAGAATCCCATAGGACCTTTTGGAATAGCATGATGACCTGGAGGCCTTATCAAAGCAAAACCCACAGGTGGATTATTGTCAATCCTTGATGCTGCTACCTGAAAAATAATACAAAAGTTTCTGGCAGATAGGTATTCCAAACTAATATAGAACATATTCATGGTTATCTGCAAAATAATAATGCAAACACCAATCCTTGAAACGTATTTAAGAAAATTACAGAAAGAAACTACAGTGAAAAAACACTAAAAAAGGCCATTACCCAAGATCAGTCCCATCTATCTGGGTGTTGGGAGGGGTGGACAGGGTACAGACCTAAACATTGAAATTTTTACATTCTCGCACGAAGTGGCCACTCTCAGACGCACACCCATGTTCTCACGCTTGTCAGCCCGATATTTTACCACCATCATCATCTAAGCCGTGTCCCAATTATATGGGGTTGGCTACATTCAGCCCAAGATTTTATGATTACCCCAAAAAACTAAAAGTATTACACAAAAAATAGGTTTGCACGGAACAGGAATAAAATAATTAACATTGGGACATCACCACTGAATCGATTAAAGAAATCCCTGCACCTGCTGCAATTAGTGACTCTTGAAATGTCTGCACCATTAAAGATACCTTCCATTAGTATGGATAATGAACAAAAAATTTGATTGTGTATAGATCCCATAGACCTAAACTACCAAGTATTGCTAAATGTCAGGTGTGCACAACCACACATATGGTTGCAAAAGAAAACATATTAGCATGGTTTTAAAATGAATATACTGCTTTGATAGCCATCATAGTACTTTGCTAACAAAATCTTTGATACTCTATGCTAAGTTGCTAAACACATTCATCACAAAGAGTAAACGCCACTGGCTGACAGGTCATTATAACATATGTCAAAGGACATGCACCTCAGCTGCATGTGGTGTTTTCAAGGCTATGACCTCTTATGAACACCAGAGGTGGAACAGAGACATGTTGTAAATGACTTTGACACATACACCATGGTGTCAACCAGACCATGAATCAGAAAGAAACTGATTCGATTTCTTGGCTTAACCAGATGGTTGCACCTTAAAACCACCAAAACCAGCTGGTTTTCATTCAAACAAATAGGGGTCTGACTCCAGATAAACCGGCAGATACCCCAGTTTCAAAACATCAAGTAAATGTAATAAATAAATAAATAAATAACAAGTAAAATGAGCAACTATCAACAGACAAGGGTTGTAGTTGTAATTTCTCTGTTGCTATCTTATTGAATACAAAACAGTGTTGCGTGGACAGGCACAGTAGTCAGAATCCAATGTGTGCCCAAGAGTCTGACTGCAAGATAAGAAAACATGGACTCGTAGACATCTATGGAAAAGTATATACTATTAATATAGGTTTTTTTTTTAATTCTAACATTATATAATCTGTTGCCTTGGTTCAAGTAACATTTGATATGGAAAGTGGCATTCATCTTGTACATTCGCTGATCATTTATGTCAAATAAGATAGGAGATAAAAAAAAAAAAAAAAGAAAAAGGAAATGTTAATAGAAGTGTCCCCAGGAACCTGTGGACTACTGGATTCTGATGCATGCCTGACACAAACAAGACGTCCATTTATGAGTCCATGAAACACTCATAAAAATAGGGTGTTGCACTCATTCTCACATTTCATTCTAATGCACTTTTTTCTAGTCCCTTCCTCTAATCTGCTCAGGCACTCTTGATAGAGCTTGATGCAAATGAACCGCCTATCAGACTATCTTGGAACTTTTAATTATCCAAATTGGATAAAATGCACAGAATAGGTAAGAACCTATTTGAAAAAAAAATGTCTTTAATTCAGGACCTTTGTCAAAGCCTTCACTATGATCAATGACAAAATGGTTGACAAGTTGATCTGGAATATGGCCAGGTCAATCCCTAGGGTTGTATACCATACATTGAAATGGGTTAGATTTGTAGTAGCACAAAAGAGATTTTGAAAAGTGCCTTCCTATGTTCCGCCATGGGATCTATTGAAAAGTTAAGTGCCTGGGTGGTTGGCTGGAAGTTTAGTTGGGAATTTCCTTTTTTTACCAACTCCCCCTTAATTCTCTAATGGCATAATATTCATTCACAAAGAGAGCCAAATACTACTTACAAAAAAGTTTGAATTTTATTGACAGTCAAACATGTTTAAGACGGGTTAAAAGTTAGAAGCCAACCCAGATTGTTAAGGACAAAAAATAATGCCAATGGAAATCAAAATCTGTGATCATTTGCAGCTCTCATAATAAAAAGAAGCCTTAGCCTTAAACAGAAGGGAAAATCAATTTTGTTCAATAAAAGAATAAAAAATGCCAACTGCTTTGAAGAGAGCTAGTGGATTTCTGTCTTAAAAAGAAAAGGAAGAAAAGAACTAGATTTGAAGAGAAGAAGGGAAGAAAGAGAGAGGAGAAGAAAGGGGTTCGGTTGATTAATTCTGCCGCCCCATACACTTCATTATATATAGTTTTGGTTCCTTACAAGAATAGGAGATAAAAGATAAAATTCTAGTCCTAATAAAACAAAACATAACATGGATAAGGCCAACCGGCCCAACTTAAAAAGAATTAATATAACTAGGTGTGGGTATGGAACCACACACACTAGAGCCTAAGTGTGGGTATGCAACCCCACACTCGTGGCTTACTAACTATTTCTACACTCCCCCTCAAGTTGGGAGTAGATATTTGTCATGCCCAACTTGCATAAATCTGTCTCCAATTTGATTTTCGTGACTGCTTTGGTGAAGAGATCAGCTAATTGCATGTCTGAGGCAATGTAAGGAAGGCATACTTCTTGAGATGTGACTCGCTCTCAAATAAAATGTATGTCAACTCTCAATATGCTTAGTCCTATCATGCTGTATTGGGTTGTGGGCAATATTAACTACAGCTTGATTATCGTAATACAGCATCAGAGGCTTCTCATAATCAATTTCCAATTCATTAAGCAAGGATCTCATCCATAACACTTCTGCAACACCATTGGCCATGGATCTGTATTCTGTATCTGCACTGGATCGAGCAACAACATTCTGCTTCTCGCTTCTCCAAGAAACAAGATTTCCCCCCACAAATGCATAATATTTAGAGGTGGACCTCCTGTCATCAACACATCCAGCCCAATCCGCATCTATATAAACTTCTATTTTCATGTGACCATTATTCTTGAAGAGTATACCTCTCCCTGGACATCTCTTTCAGTAGGCAAATATCCTTTCTACTGCAAGGAGGTGGGTGGTCTTAGGAGAATGCATGTATTAACTAACAACACTGACAGCATAAGAAATATTTGGCCGAATTAAGCAGAGATAAAGAAGTTTCCCAACCAGTCTTTGGTACATAACCTTGTCCTCAAGAAGTTCTCCATTTTCTGCACTTATTTTATGGTTAAGCTCAGTAGGTGTGTCAGCAGGTTTCACTCCTAACTTTCCAGTTTCTTCCAACAAGTCCAGAACATACTTCCTTTGAGAGAGAAAAATCCCATGCTTAGATCGAGCCACCTCAATTCCTAGGAAATTGTGCAATTCCCCTAGGCCTTTCACTTCAAATTCTTTGTGAAGATGCTGTTTAAGAGTTTCAATTTCACTAATATCACTCCCTGTTATCACAATGTCATCTACATAGACTGCAAGTAGAGTCAGGGAATGACCTGTCTTCTTAAAGAAGAGAGTGTGATTTGACTGAGCCTGTATGTATTTGAATTTGTCCAAAGCCAGTCTAAACCTATCAAACGAAGCTCCCGAAGATTGTTTCAGCCCATACAAGGCCATCTTCAAAAAGAAAACCTTCTTTCCTACTTTTGCACTATAAAAACCAGGGGGTAATCCCATGTATACTTCCTCTTGCAAGTCTCCATTGAGGAAGGCATTCTTAACATCCAGCTGAAATAGTGGCCATGAGAAGCTCGCAGCAATGGATAATAGAACTCTAATAGTGTTCATTTTTGCAACATGTGCAAAGGTTTCTGTATAGTCTATGCCATAAGTTTGTATGAATCCCTTTGCAATCAATCTGGCCTTATACCTCTCTACAGTACCATCAGCATTATATTTCACAATAAACACCCATCTACATCCAACAGGTTTCTTCCCTTCAGGCTGGTTAACTAGTTCCCATGTGTTGTTCTTAACAAGAGCATCCATCTCTACTTGCATTGCTTCCTTCCATTCAGGTATCAAAAGGGCTTCTTGCACTTTTCTAGGTATAGGAATAGTAGCAATAGATGCTAAGTAAGATTTATAGGATTTTGAGAGACAATCATAGGAAAGGAACTTGGAGATGTAATGGGCAGTGGATGAGGTGCAACGGTGCTTTCCTTTACGAATTGCAATTGGAAGATCAAGGTCATTTGAAGGTGAGGGCTGAGCATCTATAATAGTGGGATCAACTGTGGGAGCAGTAGTAGTGTCCAGATTTGGGGCTGTAGAAGATGTTGGAATTGACCTAGATTGTTGTTGAGCATGAGAATCAACCTACCTCCACCACTTCCTGTGATACACTCTCAACTCTCTGCATGTTTGACAACCCTCACCCTCTTCACATCTCTCCCCTTCAGTAACTGGGATAGGTAAAGGAACTTTTCGAGTTGAAACTGAAATCCCTTCCTCACTACTCTCCCCTTGAGGAGAGGCCCTATAATAGTAGGGCATATCCTCAAAAAAGGTGACATCCATGGACACAAAACGCTTCCTTGAAGCAGCCTCATAATAGCAATATCCCTTTTGATTTTGTGCATACCCAAGGAAAATACATTTAATAGCTTTGGGATCAAACTTGGAGCGATGAGGTCCAAGGATTTGAACAAAACAATTACACCCAAAAGTTTTGAGGGGAATAGTGAATAGGTCCTTATCTGGATATAGAAGACTGAACGGGGTTTGCATGTTTGGAACCTGTGAAGGAACCCTGTTAATAAGGTACACGGCTGTACGAATTGCATCCCCCCAGAAGCGTATGGGAACATTAGAGTTGAGCATGATGCTTCTGGCTAGGGGTGTAAACGATATTCGAAAATTCGAGTTCGAATTCGAGATTCGACATAATCAAATCGAATTTGGATTATTCAAATGTCATTAGCGGTCGAATTCGAATGAAGTATTTTTACCGGTTAATTAATCCAATTGAATTCGAAAAGGAGTCGAGTCGATTCGATTCGATTCGATAATATATATTAATACCATACGTACATATCGATATTAGTGATGCAATTATATTCATATTAAATAAATATATTAATATATTATTTTGTTAGAGTACAAATGTACAATGAATGATGACTTTTGAAAATTTCTTTTATAATATTATTTTAATAATAAAGAATTGAATGAAGAAAGAGATGCTATGATGACTTTTCGGTCAAATAAAGCAATATTTTAATAATAAAACAATTCAATGAATACAGATGTTATGATGATTTTGGAACAAACAAATTAATATTTTAATATTTTTTTATCAAAAGGCCTCTATCTCATTAATTACTTTGTACTTTTCATTTCAACCACTTTTAATTTACTATTCTTCCTTCTTCTTCCTCGTTCTTACTCTTTCTTCCTTCTTCTTCCTCCATCCTTACTCTGCAACATTTCTT